TACAATCACTTCTACGTTTATATGAGATGTTTCTCCGGACAACAAGATGGGTGCGATGATTAAAATTCACTGAAATTCGTAGGAATGAATCGAAAATCCGGCTCCAAACATCGTCAGAAAATTCTCAGTTCTGTGGCCATTTTGAATTTTTCATCAAAACTGACACCAGACTATTTTTATGATTTCAGCACACACTCCCTGTACGGCAGCAGAGCTTCGAGGCGGGGATGCGACCATTAGTCACTAGGGTTTCGTTCCTTTTATTAAAAACACACTCAGCATGATTCATCGTGATTTACATAAACTTGTACTAGTCTTCTGGTTGAAAGAAACTGTGTGCGACCATTTAACTCTGTATAAATGTTTGTACTGAATAAGAATATGACTTGTAAAAAGTTTAATAAGCTGGAGGGGAACCCTCCCGTGCACCACAGGAGGGCGGCATTTCGATTTTTTACAGTTTCTGTCTTCCATCATTTACAACTTTTTTTGGGGGGGGGGGGTTGTTTGAAATAGCATGGCTGATTAATTATTTTCCTCGTGTTCTTGAAAAAAACTCGACCCCCAACTAGTTTTTAATTGAATTTTGTTATGTTGCAAAAATAAAACAATTTTCTTTCTATTTTTTCCGGCGCCAGCAATCCTTTGAAACAAAAAAAAGGATGTTATTTTTGGAGTTGCTGATTTGCACTTTTGATCATGATGACACATAAAAGACCCGCCTAAATTTTTGTCGGGACGCAAATAATTCCAAATTATTTTTAAAAATAATAATAATAAAACCACCACCACCAAGTAGAACAATTCCGTACCTAATCGTTGGCATTGTTTTGTTTAATTGATTTCTCATTCAAACGTAAATAACTGATGTATTGCTAGTAGGGGGAACTTATCAGCCAATATATATGACAAAACTCTGAAAACAGAGCTAGCCAGCTACTGAGCCGATGGTAACCGTGAAGAAATTTAGGCATGTGTTCAACTGAGCCGCAAGAAACTGTTCTCTTGGAAATTATAATGTGCTGGATGTTGTCAAATGATCTGTAAGACGAGAAGAGAGTTCTTCATCGGTAAGTTTACAAAATCGTGGAATGAAGAGGTAAGTGGAACCGTGGTGAAACGGACTAATTTTAGCCAGTGTTTAGGTTAAGCATCGAATAGAATCCAGTTTGAATGAAGTTCATTGTGTAGCCAGTTACTATAGAGTGCAAAACATTTTTTTTTTAATTCTAAGGGTAGTTAATGGCTGTAATGATTCAGCGTCTTTTTTGTGGTATGCAACTCGAAATAGGCCGACATTTATAGTATGGGGAACATCTCAAAGTGCATGCAACCATCACTTACTCCTCAAACCGGCCCAGCACTCTATGGTTTTATTGATTTATGGAGGAGTAAAATACAATTTCATACAATTTCAAACGTGTTAAATTGGCAGAAAAGGAGAAATGTATTTTACGCGTCCGGTGGTCACCACTATTTGTGTAGAGCGCCCTCTTTTGAATGAAAGTGTTTTTTTTTTTTCTACTCGGCTTTTTCACGCTAGAAAACACACATTATTTGTGTTATATTTACTGTTTGAGGATTTCTCTTTATATTTCTACAGATTTGTGTCATACATGTATATCACGACCATACAATCCCTGGATTCAATACAATACAAGCGGTAAACCAAGTTTTCTTCCGGGAAACGAGTGGACTGTTTTTGTTCCCTGAAAGTTGAGCACAAAATTAATGTTCAGGCATGGTTCTGGGGTGGGTTGGGTGTGGTCACTGGTTGGGCTCAGTTTCCACACTGCCAAAGGGCGCTCGATGCTTTACCGGGCTGTTGCCCTCCCCGGCCCCCTATATAGGCCTCTCCGGAGCAGGGTGGGGTGAGGGGGGGGGGGGGGCGGAACCGGCCGCGTTAGACTCTTAAATTTGGGGGGTAATGTGGGGGGAGGGGAATTAATTTTTTTCTTGGGGGGGGGGCAGTCAAAATATAATCATCTGTACGTACATGCGCACGCGTGCCCGTTGTCAATGGTCATAGATATAGAATAAAATAGTCCGGAAATACGCCACTAGAGCGCCAATAGAAGTGTAGTCGCTTTTTATGAATGAGAAATGTATCAAACCGCAGAATGGTGATCTGTTACACGGTACCCTGTGGAGACATGGGTCCACAGGGCAATTTCTACGGTGGATACGTCTCCGCAAGGTTATCACGAAAATATATATATGGGTTTCACACAAAAACTATTTCCAAGGTGTGTTGATCCGTCGCAAATTGAAGTATTTATGATGGATATTATTAAAGTCCGAATTTCAGCCCAGGAAATTAAGTCTGGTTTAAATAGGAGCATTTTGAAAGTACACTTTCAAACTCGAAAACTTTAGCAAACGAGAACAAAGAAGTGACTCAACAAGGATACAAATTCCACCGAGTGTGCGTGCATAACAGATTTGTTTTCAACATGAAAGTTATTCACTTTTGAATGAGACATCTGTGCAAAAATTAAATCGAATCATTTGTGGCCCGTAACTAATTCAGCTCTAGCAGGGTGGATTATTGCGTGCAAAATGAACGCCTTTTTTTCAGAGAGTTGCAGATGCCGAAAATCAGAAAAAGGGTACCGTACTTTTGTTCTGATTTAATATGTAAGGAGAAAAAGGTCTATTTTATTTTAAGCGCACGGTGCACCCATCTTTAACCCTGACGAAGAATTCCAACTACCTGTGCAAAATTCGTTTTTACGGGTGCAAACTGGTAAATAGGCCTAAATCCATCCGCCGAGCTCATTAAGAAAAGGTATACCCCTCAAAATATTCTATATTAGAGAGTTCTGGTGACACAATTGGGGAATTGAAGAGATATGGCAATGAACCTCTTGTCAGGACTTGGCGTTTCCAAATATTGTGAGTATTTTGGATGCAATTGGGCTCGAAAATGGCGCTATTTTGCCATGCTGTGGAGGGATCGATTTTCAAGATTGCTACTTTTACGCTTTGGGGAAAATAGGGGTCGTCTTCTTTGGGTGAGAATTTCTCGAAAAGTCAATGTCAACCCACCAAAAAAAATTAAAAGAAAATGAAAGATGACATGTTGATCATCATTTTCTGGGCAGCTTCAATACCTGTGAGAGTTCTGAGTATTTTAAAAAGAATTTTGAAGTATGGGCATTTAGCACTAGTGTCTGTGAGGATTTTAATGCAGGGTTGCACCCTTACTACAGGTGTGAGGGTGACTCAACATGGCGAAGGATGCTTCAATGAAAATATCAGTGCAACTGCGCGTGGTTTTAGGGTATTGAACAATAAAAGACAACACCTGGACACGAAAAGTAGTGTCTGTACAAGAATTTTTATCCAAACAGAACGCAGTCAAGTCCACAATATACAAGTTGGCAATTATGTAAAGTAAAAAAAAAATGAATGCTCAAATTGATGAATGGCTGTAACTAGAAAGAAAATTACATGAAGTAGTTTACACAACAATATGCAGTGTGTGTACATGCAGTTACAACATGTATTGGTATAAAGATGAATTCATTGTGTAGAGCTGATTATAACACACATAAGGCCGAGAACAGAAATTGCTGTGTTAAAAAAACACACCAAATGTTACCAATAAAAAAATGGTACATTATGAAACTTGTGAGCAAAAACGCATGTTCCAGCAGCATGTCACATGTTCTCAAATGCAGTATTAATTTGTCCAACTTCATCACAGCTGTGATGAATTGATTCATCATTGAACATGTTAAAGGGGCCTTGATGGTTATTGCCAGTTTGATTCTGATATGGTCTTAACATTAGGAGTGCTCATTCTTAAAAAAACAAAAAAAAACCCTGCAAAACAAAACAATAAAAAAACGTGTACAAAGTCTATGGGACTTGGGAAAAAACAAAAAAGAAATCGGAAAAAAATTCAGAACAAAATCAGAGGCTTCTCTGCAACAACATGTATGTGGAAAAGCCAATCAAGCAAAACTTGCCTGAACAGTCGGGGGGAAAAACCCATCATATCTAGTCTTGATTCAAGTCTAGGTTGTCATTCATTATTATTCCCTAATGCTCACAGCCATGATCCACCTCCACATGTTATAAGTGGAATATGTAGCAGCTTTGCTATATTGGATTACGTCCTTCACAGCCTCTGAATTCCAGCCTTGAATCACGACTACTACTTCTCCCACTGACCCATGTGATCCGCAAGGATCTGGCCTACATCCGGATCTGGTATCGGAAAGTCAGCATCGCCATTGTAGTAGGCAAAGATTATCGCCGTGCCCAGGGCCCAATTTCACGGCGCTGCTAAGCACACGATTTTCTGCTAACAGAGCCTTCGTCTATTTCATGGAGACCGTAAGCATAAGCACAGCAAAAGGCACGCTTACTTCAGAGGAAAAATTTGCTTAACTTAGTGACGTAACAATAGAAAACTCCATGCACGCGCGACCGTTAGCACGTCCACGCCGTGAAATAGTGGCAAGTGTTTTTCTGCTATGCTAACTACACCTTTTCTGCTAACTGTTAAGCAGCGCCGTGAAATTGGGCCCAGTGGGCAAGCCTTCAAAGCTGTGATGGATGGCAAAACTTGGGAGAAAAATGCAGAGCCAACACCAGGTGCTGGGTCGGCACGATAATAAGAACCGTACACAGCACAGCTAGTAACCATTACATGTATTCCATTTGATAAAAAATTTGCGATCGTTTTGCTTGAAAATAAGCCCTACCATCAAGTTGACAATGCACGACCTGGTTAACCCCTTAAGGACGGGGTGTAATGGGGACATTCCTCCACACATAGAGCAAGTGGCCCGCATGACTGCACAGCCTTTGTGTGGTAGCGGGACTGCACAAAAGCAGCAGCTGTGGAACTACCCACTAGCCGTGTGCCACGGCATACCACAGCTGGCAACTGCATTCCAATGAGGATTAGCAGCCGCGGCCCGTGCGCATGGGGTTAATAACCAAATGCTTGCCTACTGCAATGGTGGTCGAATAGAGCGTATTGATAGCTGGCGATTGACTGGCCTTTCTCAAACCTGGTCTCTGCATGTGACACTGGCTACGTCTCTGGCTATTAAGGAAGCTGGATATTGAAGCCAACGCTGCTGAAACAGCCAATGTTTGAGAAATGGCCACAGATAAGCCCGCTTCACACTTTTGTTACGATTGGCAGTTAGAATTACAAAAAGGTGAATGACATTTGAAAACTTTACTTTTTGGTATTTCTGATATAGGTTGCATGTAACTGCCCATATTTGTACAATTTACAATTTAACTGTAACGTTTAACACAGTAATCATTAGAAAATAACACAGACCAAGTTTTGGTAGGAAAGTTTGGTTTGAGCATTGCGTTTAGTTTTCACTTTTTACTAAACAATGTCTGCAATGAGGCCGTTGCATCATACTTTTTATGAAAATGCCACACTTTTAAACATTCGTATCTCGCCCAATTTCATGGTGCTGCTATGCACAATTAATAATGGAAAAAGTGCTTGGCCGGTTTTGGCAAGGGCCACTATCCGAACCAGGCTCCTAGCCGGTTGTAAACGTAATTGTTTAAAACCGGCCAAGCATACATGCATTCCCATTCATCAATACCTTTCAGTCAAAAAAAGTCAAAACAAGTCAGAAATCCACAATTATCCAAAGTTTTTGTTCAACAAGTTTAACTTATGTTTTGTGAGACACCCCTCTGGCCATGTCCATGGTACATGTATGTGCCTCACCTGCATAGCGCTAAAAATCTCCTTTTATGGAGATGGGGGATCAGCTGTACGCCCTGTGCGATGTGGCGCAGAATGCAGTGGTGCAGGAATTAAGTGTTTCAAACCAGCCTGTGTTTTATTAGCAGTTTCAAACCACCTATGTGTCGGGCTCTCGACCAACAGGAATGGGTAAACTGTCTCAGGTATTTACGCTAATACAGAGTCGGCATCCAATTCACATTGTATTACATTGTATTACATTGTATAACATTGTACTTATTCCATGATAGAAACCACAGTTTGGGTGGTATCAGGTGTTACAAGGAGTAACAGGCAGGGCTATTGTGGGAAATGCAGTGTCCAGCACGTACCGGTAAGCTCATTTTTGTGTGTGTTATGGTAGTAAATTCTGCTAACACTGAGACCTTGACACAGCACCAGGAAATTGGCCGAGAGAGGTTCATGACAGACCCACTAAAGTCGGGTTTCTGCCCTCTCCAATGAAATTATAATCAACTTAAACAGTGTTGGGTCATCTTAATAATTTACGCACAAAAATTATATTAAAACCAAAGAAATTGAACAGCTGAATTCATTATTACTCCTCAATTTTTTGTTGCAATGTAGCACATTTGTGCATTCTTCCGAAAGTTTTACAATTCATCAGTTGTTTAAGAGCCAGGCTGCTCAATCACTTATGTACACTACTTGGGACTCTATTAGAAACAGTATATGATATTACATGTGAGTGGCCACTCAGATCCACCGATCCAGCGAGCGCGGTTCAGACCCACACGTGAGTGGGATACATCATATGTGCTTGCTGATTCGCCCCTGTGAGGTGAAGAGTTGGCATGACTACTTTTCATGTGAATACAATTTCACATTTAAAATGAACCTTTTGTGGTCTTTACGTGGCCACCATACACACAACGGTAATGACATTCAAGTGTTTATCGTTATATATTTCTGTCACTTTTGAATGGGGTACGTGTGCCTGCAGTCCATGGGGGGCTATGGCACAATGGCACATCCCCACTTAGTGACGAAACTTCAGAAAACTACAATTTAACCCCTTATAGACGGGGTGTAATGGGGACATTCCTCCACACAGAGAGCAAGTGGCCCGCATGACTGCACAGCCTTTGTGTGGTAGCGGGACTGCACAAAAGCAGCAGCTGTGGAACTACCCACTAGCTGTGTGCCACGGCATACCACAGCTGGCAACTGCATTCCAATGAGGATTAGCGGCCGCGGCCATGACCGCTTCCCGTATGCATGGGGTTAAGAGAGGGCTGCTATAGTGCACATGTACTACAAAGACACTCGCGTGTGGCCCCTACAAGTACATGAATATTAAAGTCGTAGTCTGGTAGTCATGCAATGCATTTTACGTGACCCGTGCGCCAGCCAGTCGGACCCACTTTTGGAAGTTTATAATGACATAATTCAGAGCAGAAACTTAGCCAAAGCTAGTTGGTAGGTCAATATGACTGCCATGTTTTTGTCGCACAACATCAGGTTACGGAAGACACGGTAGAAGGCGCCCGTTGAACAGTCAGAATCTGGAGGTCATAACACAGTCTTGTTTTTGCATAATTTGCACGCACATCAGAGACGCTTGTGGTGCAAGCATCTATTCCATTAGGCCATCAGCCTGGGGGTTTGGTCAGTATCAAAGCAGGGCATAAATGATTATAATGAGCATGCGCAAGGTATACCACCCCTAGAGTGGTAACAAGCATTTTGATGGCCATTTTGAGGAAAAAAGGGGCGATCACCCAAAATGCTGCCACCGTTGCAATGCTATCACATATTTTCCAACTCTGGAGGTGCATACATGTACCTTGTAAAAAATCGCTACGACGATTATTTCCCCCATTTGATACCGGTGGCAAAAATTTTGGACTGAGGCTGATGATGGCCTACATAGACTAGCACAGTCATGGGTCAGTTTACACTCAGTTGACTAATGAGGGGTGCACTGTGCCCAATTTGCACCCAAGTTGCGAAGGACTTCGAAAGTCTATTGGAGTAGTCTCCCCCAACTCTCCATTTCTTACCATTGAGGGCGTACTTGTGAACGGAGCCCATGAAAGGCCACACTGTGGCCTTAACCCGAACATCCCAAGGGCTCTATGGGGGTCAAGTACCAAATACCACAGAATACTTCAAGTGTTGTGCACACTTGTACAGAAAGAAATGCATACTACTGGTTACTACTGAGTAGTATTTTGTAGCTTTAGGTGTGGTTAGGGTTGACAGAGTTCCTATAAAATGTAGTCCGTTGTGGGAAGCTGACACTACAACTGACACTAATAACTTACAGTAATAACAATAAAAAACCATAGAAATCATAAAAATGGTACTAAAAATTCTTCCCCGCTCTGTGCGCCTCCTCCACAAGGTGAATCGAGGTGCGCTCTCACAGTCATTTCCCAGACGAGGGGAAAGTCAACATTTCCGCGACGTTCTCAACTCTCCTCTCAAATTAACGCAGTCAACTGGCAGTGATTCCACAGCCCTGGGACTTTCTCCTGCACTGAAGCAACTCTTGTTTTGCTAGGCATTCAGTTTACAAAACAATCGCAGTCAAGTATCCTGCCCAGGGACACAAGCACCATTGGCGATTTCCCTGATGACAACCACCAGGAGTGAAATCCATGTTTGAAAAACTTTGTACAGCATATCTGTCCATTTTCATTTAATGGTCAGTAAAACTGGGGTTAGTTAAAAAAAAATGTACAGAATGCGATTTAAAAAAAGGTTTTCACACTCTCGGTGCGTGTTTTCTTGAAAACTGAAAAAGCTTCTTACAATGAAATATTTTGGTACGTGAAGTCGGTTGCTACTTGGTGCCAACAACAGATGTTTCCATAGGTGTCGTGGCGGGCGTTGAATTATCGTGACTGGTCACTGACATGGTCACAACGTCCATTGGGAGGGTGTTGGCTGTGGTGTTGATTGGCCCGCTGGCAGGCTGGGTGCCGTTGGTTACGACAGGCGCCGGCGTGGCGGCCGCTGCTGCCAGATGGAGCGACTTTGGTACGAGCGAGCTGGGGACGGAGACGGAGTTGACGGCGTTGGCCAGCGGGCTGCTGTTGACCGTGATGGTGTTGGCCATGCTCTTGAAGTTGTTGAGCGCCGCCGCCGTGGCGTTGTTGTTGTTGGCCGCCACGGCCTGCGCCACGCTGGTGATCAGCCCCGCGGCGTTCATGTTCATCCCGGCGTGATGGATCCCGGTCACCAGGGAAGCGTTGGCCGTGGTGATCGGGGAGCCGACCTGCAAGCCGCCGGAGTTCAGGTGCGAGGACGTGGTGGAGGGGCTCAGGAGCGGTGAGGCGCCGTTGTAGCTCAGACTGGCCAAGTTGACCGACGGCGGATTGATGCGCTTCTCCTTCTGCCGGCGGTTGCAGAACCAGACCCGGACCACCTCCTTCTCCATCCCCAGGGTGTCCGACAGGATCATGATCTCCTCGGACGTGGGCTTGGGGTTGTGGATGAAGGCCCGCTCCAGCGACACCCGGATGTTGGTCTCGATGCTGGTGCGCTTCTTGCGCCGCCGGCCCATCGCGTCCTGCGAGTCCATCCCAGTGCCGCCCAGCAAGGACGGGTTGGAGATGGTGGAGTCGGCGTCGTCCAGCCACTTCTGCAGCAGGGGCTTGAGCTTGCACATGTTCTTGAAGCTGAGGTTCAGGGCCTCGAAGCGGGAGATGGTGGTCTGGCTGAAGTCGTTGCCGTACAGTTTGCCCATAGCAAGCCCTACATCACCCTGCACGAACAATAAGCAACGTCAACTTTTTATCCTTGAATGTACACAATAATGCAGTATCCTTTTTTTTCTTCCTAATACAATCCCAAACCGTCCCTGAATTGTATAGTTTTATGGTTTAATCAAGGAGTATAAATGCAGTGTAATACAAGTACCATTTACCAAACAGTTATAACGTACAGCCTTTGAAAACAAGGTCTCAGCAGCTGAAAGCCCCTTTTGGCGCCAACAGATGTTCTGGGAAATGTGACATCGGACCGCTCTCAATCAATGAAAATACAGCATCCGAAGCTCACAAAAATGTCTATTGTTTACAACAGTATCTACCATGTCTACTGTGGAAGTTTATATTGTATATCATACACTGTAATTCACCTCAAGATCTTTAATATTTTACACATGTAATATATTATACCACGCTTGAATAAATCTCCGTCATCTGATTGGTGGGTTGTTGATCACGTGTGACGTGTCATTGGATTATTTGTCCCAACCTTCCAACCTTGCACAGTCAAACTATTGGCTGCTCTGAAAAATCAGGATTTATTCAGGTGTTGTATAAAACAAATAATGAATGTTTCACATTCGTGCAATGGAAAGAATATCAATCGGTGACAGATGGAACGTTCCATTCCACTCAGCTTCACCTCGTGGCATGGAACATGCATTGTCGCTTCATGAAATTACTCTTACCATTGCACTCATAAACATTCATTATTTTTACACTGTATATTGACCTGCATAGCTCATATTGTGTTTTTCATATACTGTATATTGACCTGTACCATACATGTATATGTACATATATACCGGCATCATAATTATAAGATATTCCTCTTTTTGGTTTTATCTAACGTTACTTTCTTTTAGAAATGCCAGTGGAAGCTGAATTTCTATGCTTTTATTAAAAGCTATAGTCCATCATTTGCAGCCATCCGAAAAAGTAACTGGCGTATTATTGTTGAAAAACATACTTGGTTGAAAGATAGTAAGTGGACTAAACTCCCTGTGAAATTAATCTTTCTGGCAAGCTATCATTTTCATGCATGCAACTGGGAATTTACAAAAAACGAGGAAATTCCGAACCACACAACATTTTGTACAGAGTTTTTCAATTTGTAATGGCATACTTGAGAAGTTTAAAACGAGGAAATCAGCGGATCCGAGGAAAAGTTGCATGCCTGCATTTTGAAGTAATCAACGAAAGAAGGCCTTTCCAACGGTGCGTCTTAAGACGCACCGTAGGAAAATTTAAATTAGTAGTTCGTTTTGTTATTCGGCGCAGCGCGCGCAAGCATTAGCGCAACGCACAGGCGCGCGCGGTTGCTATAATTTGTCGGATCAGTGCGCGACATCGCGTATAGCTGCAATTCAAAAACAATTCAAAACATGATTCAGCAACTTTTGATTTGAAATTGAGATCCTAGAATGCTGTTTTTCTCGGAATATAAAGCTGAAGCTGAGCTGAAACTTCATCAGGTTAGTTGTTCAGTATCCTTCATTAGATTTTGAACACTTTTGTTGCTTCAAACGAACAAAATGCACAAATTACAAATGATGGACTATATCTTAAGCGTGGATAATAAAGTGGAATTTGATTTGATTTACTGCATACTCACCTGTGTGAAGCCCAGTTTGATTCGTCTTTGCTTGAAGGTCCTAGCAAACTGCTCCAGTTCCTCCAGGTCAGTGGACTCCTCGGCTTGCTGTATGGCCGAGGTCTTCTGGGCCTGGGCAATCTGCAGCTGCTGCTGGGCTGTGATGGCTGGCGCTGCCGCAACTATCGTGGCCCCAGTCTACATTGAGGGGGAGGAAGAATCAAGACAATCAGAGCTGTAATTTAGTCAGTTACAAGTCACCACTAGTCATCACAAGTCATCACAAGTCAATCACAAGTCATCACAAGTCATCACAAGACAATCACAAGTCATCACAAGTCAAATACAAGTCATTACAAGTCAAACACTAGTCATCACAAGTCCATTACAAGTCAATTACAAGTCAATCACAAGTCAATAACAAGTCAATTACAAGTCAATCACAAGTCAATCACAAGTCATTACAAGTCATAACAAGTCAAACACAAGTCATCACAAGTCATCACAAGTCAAACAGAAGTCATCACAACTCATCATAAGTCAAACACAAGTCACCACAAGTCATCACAAGTCAAACACAAGTCATCACAAGTCAAATAAAAGTCATCACAAGTCAAATAGAAGTCATCACAAGTCATAACAAAACAAACAAGTCATCACAAGTCATAACAAGTCAACCAGAAGTCATCACAAGTCATCACAAGTCAAACACAAGTCAAACACAAGTCATCAAGTTTCAAGTCAAGTCACAAACTGTTCCGATGAACTGTGGCAAAGGCATTCCATTGACACTGCTTGTGCCCTAATACTTGTGGACCGAAGTGCAACTTGTGATCTGTCCTGTGATTGACTTGTGGTTTGACTTGTGTGATTGACTTATGGTGATTGACTTGATCACATTCTTACATACTCCAATCCAATGAGAAGTACATTATTCAACGTGATATTCCCCGGAGTTGAAACCGAGTTTTACGTTGGCAACTCCACAGCCAAAAAAATCCTGAATGTTGTTATCAATTTCATTTGTCCTTGCTCTGCACTGAGCATCGATGACCAACACTGGGCATGCACTAAAAACATTGCTTTGAGAGACGCACGTATTTTTTGAGCGACTCAATGAGTTTTCTCTGGTTCACTGATTAACTCATGGTCCCTGCATGGCCCAAAACAGCCTACTAGTTACTCCCTGTACTGACCCAAGCCGCCCGAGCACTCTCAAGGTTCAATGAATTGATCAGGGATTAAATACAATGTAATAGAGTGCTAATGGGTTACGTTTGCAGGTTGGAATCCAACCTTTCATTACCTGTGCGGAGGAGACCGTTGCTAGAGTCACTGCCGGCTGCTGCACCGTCGGGGCTCCGATGAACGTCTGACCCTGGATCAGGTTCTGCTGACCCTGGATCTGCAAAAGCGGGTTTGCAAGGTCAGACCAAGAGTAATAAGGCAAGGCCTGAGGGACGATTACAAGCGAGTGGACTAAGTGCCTTTGCAGAGGAATGGGTGCAATTTTTTTTTCATACTTGAAAGCTGTGAAGTGCATTGTATATGTATTTATAATGGTTCTTACTTTGTATTCATATTCAGTTTTAGCCTTGGTAAAGGCGTTCGACATAGTGTCCGATATTCGATAGTCGGCCGCTAAAATAAACAATAGCCCCGTGCTATGCACTCACACGTACTGTGCGAAGTGCCAACAGTGACCTCACGCGCCTAGGCTACAATATGCATATCATTTGGTGTTGGTCGAATGCCTTGGAACAACCATGTGCCTTGGCTTGTTTTTCTTTATTATGTGGCTGGATTTCCAGCAATGACCTTGTATGCAAATAAAGATGAGATTGTTTTTCAATACATGTACTTTATAGTCATAGAGGCTCATATTTTACATGGATAGAGAGCAGGACAGTCTGGTTAAATTCTCCAACAAGTTTGGAGTCCTCAGACTAAATATAACTCCATATATAAATCCAGCAACAAAATGACGAAAATTTCCCCCCAAAAGATAGGCCACTGCGATGGTTGTTCCAAGGCATTCATCCGACACCAAATGATTTGCATACTGTAGCCTAGCCACGTGAGGTCGCTGTTCGCGCTTCGTACAGTACGTGTGATCGCATAACGCACGGCTATTGTTTATTTAAGCGGCCGACCATCGATCATTGGACACTGTTGTCTTGACTCTTAGCATTCATCAAGGCTAATTCAGGTTTGGGTGTTGGTTCTTACTTCTGGTGAAAACGAAAGCAAAGCGAATTTCATGACATCAGCATGGCCTTGTATGAGGGCTGTGAAACCTTGCTATGACCATACTGGCCAACATGTGTTGAAATGACCGTGTTTCTACTCGTGGCCGGCTTTTTAGCTGTGCTATATTTAAACAATGCATGAGAAGATGAAAGATTTGTAAAACTCAATTATGTAGTTAGTATTGGGCTTTTGGTACACCAGTTTCACCTAAACAACAGAATGTTGCGGCATTTGCTTCATTTAGGAATTGCTGAGGACCGAGTCTTTCCCAACTATGAAACCAAAACGACAAAGATTTTACCAAGATATAAAACTATCAACGACAAAACAACAAAAACAATATCAGTACATGAGAAAACACCAATGGAGGAGGCCAATTAACATTTATGGCCACAAGAATTGAACCTCTTCCATTCTACTCGCTTGTTTGGACTAAGGACCCAAACGTGGAAACAAATTCATTTTTTTTCAATTTCTGAAATCTCAATCTCCTAGCCATGGTTTTGCTGTCAAACCTTTCAAACTCCCATAAAATCCAACACTATAGATCTATATCATGCTTCCACCATTTTAGTCATGTTCCCTGTATCCAATAACAGTACTGAATGATAATGTTTTGGTGCAAGAAAGGAACCAGACTATTTTTCCTCAAGCCTCGCTTTGGTTACATTTATTTGAATGGGGAAAAAATTCAAATGGCTGCAACATGATAATGGTCTATTATTAGCAGACGGCGCACATTCACAGGACTTTGTAATAAGATTGGAACATCAAGCCCTACATAAATTATGTGTCTGAGCCCTGCAGTGCTGAATCCTACGAAACCCTACAGAACCCTTCAAAACCAAAATGGACACTGGAAGATTTTGGGATAAGCAAGATTAGTCAGAGATTTGTTGTGAAGGATCCAAATGTTTCTAGTTTTTAAGGGTACATGAAGAAAGTTCTTCCGAAGAGAACTAACGAGAATTGTTAGAACTCAGTAATCCACATTTTGAGAATGCACATGTAAGGCCGCTATGGGATTTCATTGGTGTTTTCTTAAATACTGGTGCAAACATTTGAAACTGAAGGAAAAATAAAGAGAAGGCAATGAACATCAATGCATTAAAGCTGACATGTCTCTCATGCCCACAATACAACATTCCATGCAGGGTTAAACACTATACCCGCAGAATATTTGGTGCTTGAACTAATAATGTCATGCAAAAAAAGTTATAAGAAAATTTAGTCGCCAGAAACACATTGTCTTACAGCCTCACACATGGACAAGATTGAGACTTAAAGAGGTTTGGAATGCTCGAAGACATTTCCGTCATTTTTTGGGTATATGTAGCCTAAGGTGTGATGACATCAAAACGACTATTGTTTCCGTCATAAAATGAGTACAAAAGGTACTTTTGAGAGCTATTTTTCAGGTCCTGTTTCGACCCGAACGTTCAATTTGTGTAAAAGTCGTCGTTGCGGGCAGCAAACAAAACACAGTAAATCGTGACGTAATAAACAGGACTCGTTTATGCTACTCTGCATCGGGAGTCCTGTTTATTACGTCACGATTTACTGTGTTTTGTTTGCTGCCCGCAACGACGACTTTTACACAAATTGCACGTTCGGGTCGAAACAGGCATGACGGGACTTGAATAACAGCTCTCAAAAGTACCTTTTGTACTCATTTTATGACAGGAACAATAGTCGTTTTTATTTCATCACACCTTAGGCTACATATACCCGAAAAATGACAGAAATGTCTTCGAGCATTCCACAACCTCTTTAATCATTTAAACAAATAGGTGTCGCCTGCCCCTTTCACAGTGCGGTTTACCAAGGGATGTACTTTACGGCCACTTTATCATTATGGGCTCCATGCAAAACTACACGCACGCTTGCCGACGTAAAAATGTAACTTGTGTATAAATACGTTTGTGCATACATTTCAGCTCTCATTATGGTGAGTGACCATATTTAGGTATGTTTCTACTTTACACATCGACACGTTTTAATGTGCACATTTCAATTGTTGATCCTTGTTGCATGTACTGCACAGCAGAGATACATGTATGTGTTTTTTTCACTGGCTCCCATGCGTAGGCCACACTATCTACAGTTCTAGCAGCAGTCTATGGCCAGTCTGTGCTTGGCCATACCTATGTGTGTACAAATAGTTCCTGAAATTTTGTAGTGGTTTTTTTTTTGCATCGAAACCATTAGGCCTGATATTCTGCAAACAGCTTCAATTACTCAAAGCATTCCTTTTTTTCCCACAAGAATGACAACCTCCCGATTTCTCCTTTTGGAGAAAATTTGCCTAAGATCTTCATTTCTGCTTTGCACAAAATAGAAAATAGGGCAACTTTTGGACGAAGATTGAGAGGCATATATATTTCACCAGAAGGGGAATTGGAGCACTCTTTATTTCTGTGAAATAAATAAAAAGTGAATGCTTGGATATTAAAGTGAGCCCGTATTCGCAGTGCCAAATTAAGTGTTCTGTAGGCCCGCGGCACCAGTGTTCCATAGGCCCTACTTCAGTTCCTATGTGGCGTCCACAATGAAAGTCTACTGATTTTTAAATAGCAATAGGTCTCTCTCAATGACGGCCAACTCTGTAGGAGAACTGCAACTGCGTATTTTACGCAATCAAGCAGTGTTGAAAATGTTCCAAACACGAGCGCTTGTTGCTCGAAATGTGTTCGAAATACGACACAGCCAATGCGCGTTATGCAAGTTGACACGCGAAATGCTGATGCTGGTCTGTAGAAAATGACGTCATTTCAGAGAGACCTAATGACATAATTTGAAGGCCGTTTATTATAGTGGTATTTTAAAAGCTTGGTGGTAACGCAAAGTGTGAAAGGAGCAGCCGACACACACACGGAATGAGCTGTTGGTGAGGAAGATGACATACATGTATGTTAGGAAATGGGTGTCTCTAGGAAGGCATTGCAACAACCAGTGTGATTAAAAATGCAAGGAACCACTTCAAAAGTTCAAATGGTTCATGTAATCGGGGCATAATAACACCAAAGAAAGAACACCACAAAATCTTGGAAATTTGCTGCTGAACAGAATGAAAATCTGCAACGTGGACTCAATTTCATGGTACTGATCCAGACATTTTAAACTTTTTTGCTCACTGTAGTTTTATCTACTTCATGGTAATCATAAAAGAGAGCAGAGAAAAGAAGCCAGCAATCTCGAGGCCGGTTTTGGCCATATGACGAAAAGGTTTTGAACGTCAGCACAATTTTTCTATTGAGGACTCCAATGCAGGGAACGGCGGAGACTGTGCAAACACACGAGAGCCTTGGCACGAACCATCCCACGACATACTGGTAGGTTTTAACGTGCACGAACTACAGTGTACGAACTACAGTGTACGAACAGCGCTGCAGATTAAAGGTAGAAGTGGACCATTTGTAAACTATACAAAAAGTAACCAACCAAATTATTGCGAAAAAGCTTACTTGGTTTAAAGATAGTAATGACACTAAATTCCCAGTGAAATTATTCCTTTTTGGCGTGTTGTCATTTTGAAGAATACAATAAAAGAATGCCATTTCCAATGATGAGTCAAGTGACACATTTTTGGAAATTTGGGTTTGTAGTGTGCTTGTAATTGGGCGAATCAGTGAATGGGTGCAAGCATTGTCACACACTGAACGGAATAGTAGCGTGCGTCGTGTTAACGCTATTATTAGTCTGTTCAGTGTGTGACATCACATAGCTTATGATGGGCTAAAAATAAGAAGTGTGTCCTGAATGCCGATTTTGGAATTGTGTCACAAGAATTTTTAACTGAATTCGAGATCCAGAATACTGTGTTTCCTCGAAATACACAGCATTCACAGAGATAAACACTTCATCGGGTTAGTACATCCGTCTTTATATTTTGAGCACTTTTGTTTCTTCCAAAAAATAAAATGTATAACTGACAAATGGTCTATTCCACCTTTAAACAGTGTGAGCATGCGTGTACAGTGGCAAAATAATGGAAGTGGTGAAATAATGGAAGTGTCCATAATCCTCTTTTTTTTCCTCATAGTATGCAATAAGATGTGCGAGGAGAACACTAATCACTAAAAACTCGCCCAAGTGTGTACTTGCCTGCAAACGGGGACCCCCCATTGTCCCTCTTTTGTTTGTACTAACTTTTTAGGAAGACATCCCATATGTTTTGTACACGATTGTAAATTGGGGACCAATCAACGTCCCCTATTGAATGCAGCAACAAACTCCATGAAACTGGGTCCAAGGGTTACACAAAGAGGACAGCAGTATGTAAATCCATGGACAAATAAAACACTTTCTTGAACATTTTTTTTCGGGGAAAACCAGGGAAAACTTTTGAAGTGGTTCCTTTGAGTGAGAACTACAAGGGATGAGGAGTGTGATTTATACCTGGGGCAGCAAGCTACTTTGCGGCTGGGACAACAAGCCGGTCTGCTGGTTGGCCTGCTGCTGAAGGAAAAACTGCTGCTGCATGTTTGGCGCCACCTAGAGGCGAGGTTGACACACGCACACACGTACACAAGACACACAAAGTGACGACGATGCCACGAAAAAAAAGACAAGTGTCAAAAACGCCAAATGCAAAAACAGGCAAGGTGTTATCAAATTATTGTGTGGAATGGTATAAAGCGACAAAGCTGTAGTCAAGAACATCACATGTCAAATCGTAAAGGAGTCATCTCGTATCCGGGATTCGTTGGGGACGAGTTTATCGGAAGAAGGCTCATTGTGTTGGGTTGAAGTTGCAGGATTCTGAACAGCGCTGCCCTGAAATCTTCCCGGAATGAAGTCCTCAGTGTGTAAACAATGCTGATGACTTCATTGCTGGAAGATTGCAGAGCACGTGTTCAGAACCATGCAACTCGGGGTGAGATGGGGTTAAAGAGGTTGTGGAATGCTCGAAGACATTTCAGTCATTTTTGGGGGTAGATGTAGCCTAAGGTGTGATGAAATAAAAACGACTATTGTTTCTGTCATGAAATGAGTACAAAGGGTACTTTTGAGAGCTATTTTTCAGGTCCTGTTTCGACCCGAACGTGCAATTTGCGGGCAGCAAACAAAACACAGTAAATCGTGACGTAATAAACAGGACTCGTTTATGCTACTCTGCATCGGGAGTCCTGTTTATTACGTCACGATTTACTGTGTTTTGTTTGCTGCCCGCAACGACGACTTTTACACAAATTGCACGTTCGGGTCGAAACAGGCACGGACAGGACTTGAAAAACAGCTCTCAAAAGTACCTTTTGTACTCATTTCATGACAGAAACAATAATCGTTTTTATTTCATCACACCTTTGGCTACATATACCCGAAAAATGACGGAAATGTCTTTGAGCATTCCACAACCTCTTTAATCGTTGTCTGGAGCATTGAATTCAGGGTCTGCGGGTAAAGCTGCAGGTTCTGTGGGTTCGAGTCCTGCCTGGAGTTGCGTGTGCCCTTGGGCAAGGCACTTTGTCATTCATTGCTTCTCCCCACCCAGGAGTAAATGGGTACCTGCGAGGGCAGAGATGGTTATTGTGGTTGATTTTAGCTGCTTTGTACGGAAAGCTCCTGAAAAAAAATCCCACCCTTGCTGCAAATAACACCTGATGCAAAGGCGCTGTTGGAGATAAACTAGTCTGCAACTTATCCCGGTTACAAGTATTCAATGAGATGACCCTTAAATCAATCACAAGTCAAAGTATCAGAAAGTCACAAATACTGATTCGCAAGAGTCATTTCAACAGTGTTTGCCGAAACCTGGGTGTGCCCACGGGGTGCGTAAATTGTAGAATAGGCCATGCATAAGCAGCCAACTCAAGATCAACACAATTAGGCCTGCCTCCACAGACTTTGTGTGCGTGTACAAAAGAGACGAAGTCTCCGATGCGAACTGGTTTATCCAGATAGTTTATCACCAGACTTGTGATGACTTGTGATGACTTATGATGACTTGTGACGATTGACTACAGCTCTGCAAAATAGCTGCATGCAGGATGTCATGATAAAAAAAACAGTCAACTTCAAAGTTTGATACGACACAGCTGCAAACATACATATTTTGAAATACCTCAAATGTATGTCTTTTTGGTGTAAAATATAAATTATTTTATTTTGGAATTTCTCTTCCATTTGGGGAAAAAAGAGAGTAATTTTAAAACGACTAAATCTGAAACCAACTCGTGCTCTGAATGGACACATCTTACACTGTATGCACCACAAATGGGGCTGCTATACTTGTACTTGGCTTTATACTAGGCAAACTTGACCATGAAAGTTAATACATCCGTTGGAGTTCAATCAATGGATAAATCTATCCATTCATGCAATACGGTTTATAATCAGATACATACATTGTATATCTTTTTCAATTGAATGAGTTGTCTCAAAATATAAATTGATGATCAAATTGTACTGAATGTGTGGAAGACTTCAACGCTGTGGCCAATTCTACAACTGGGCCAATTCAGGCAATTCACAATGCAGTGCGCCACCAAGAGTTTGCCATGGAGAGTCTTTTTTTTCAAGTTTACGGTCGACAAAACATGAACAATTTGAATGAGTGTCAGTAGACAACTTGAGCTAATTTGTTATAGATTTGAGCATAGCGTTCTGCCGCCTTACAAAAAAACACCATATTGATAAAAAGAAAAGAAAAAGGCAAAACAGATCCTCGAAACATACGCTTATGAAACTACGGACCGGAAAAACTAACAATTTCAAATGACCCGCGCTGCAAATTTGTCGACCATCTCCCACCATGCACTGGGAAAAATGAACTCTCGGTGGCAAACTCTTGGTGGCGCACTTCATTGTGAATCGCCCGAATTCTGCAATCGGGACATTTCTGTAATCGGGCTAATTCAGTTGAAATTGTCAAAGTCCTCTCAATGTTAGAATGGACATGCATTTTGTCACTTTTAACCAAACAACAAGGGACATGAGAAGTAGCAAAGTGAAACAATCATTTCAAAGGTTCAGAACTGAAAATATTAGGTGAAACAGATAATGTTAATGTTTTCAATGAGTGTAGATCTTTGAACAGAAAAATAATGAAAGAATTGGTAAGAAAAAATTGTCACTATATTAATATGATATTTTTGGCATAAAGCTAAAAGCAGGATGTTTTTTTTAAAAAGAGAATGAAAATCAAAGTTAATTTCATATTTCACTTTGAAGAGGTTAGTCCATCATGACATAATTGTTAAATCCAAAGTTTGAAATCAGAAAAATCAAAGTGGAATTTTGGTATGTGTACATGTACAGCTTTTGAGTTTTGGAAAAAAGCTACATGTACCATCAAACAATATTAAAGAGAAACATCAACAGTTACTTGAGATAAGATTTGAAAGTTTGCATGGCAACACAAAGTTTCCAAAAGTACTCTCCGTCTGTCTTCAGAAGACAGTGCATATAAATCAGGAGACTTTGCCAGTCTCCTGAAGACGGATATAGCATAGTGTCCGAAATATTAACCCTAACCACCCCAACTCCATCAAAATCCATCCCCCCATTTTGGCGGATTTTTGGGGGACTTGGTCCAGAAGGCCTGAGGTGAAATATTGATGGAGTATGATGGACTTGGGCCTAATGGCCTGAAGCAGTGCTAGGGGTATCCGATTGATTTTGCCTAGCTTCCTGTACTGCTATTGTGATAAACAGTGTAGCAAGTCTATGAATATCAACCAGTGCGTCAGTAGTGGATTCCATTATGTCATGTACAGTTTTGTATTGGACGCACAGTGATTGATGGATTTTGATGGACTTGGTCCAGTTCCTAATAAAGGACGCTAGGGAGTTAGGAAAAATTCCAAAATATGTCAAGAATTTCTCAACTTACAGCTAGCTACCGTACGTGGCTGTCATTAGCAAATATCTGATTAGCAAACTCTACTTAGTTTCTGCTCAAAAGATCTGATGCTCAAAAATTGGAGAAGCCGTGAACTTCATTTGCAATTTTTTTTTTCCAGCTGCACTAAACGTATGTTGTCAGTACTGCATGCACATGCACATGCACACTTAAAGCTATAGTCCATCATTTGCAGCCATCCGAAAAGTAACTGGCATAATTATTGTTGAAACACATACTTGGTTGAAAGACAGTAAGGGGACTAAAATCCCTGTGAAATTATTCTTTCTGGCAAGCTGCCATTTTGAAGTAATCAACGAAAGAAGGCTTTTCCAATGGTGCGTCTTAAGACGCACCGTAGGAAAATTTAAATTAGTAGTTCGTTTTGTTATTTGGCGAAGCGCGCGCAAGCATTGGCACGACGCACATGCACGCGCGGTTGCTGTAATTCGTCGGATCAGTGCGTGACATCGCGTATAGCTGCAACCGGCTCAGTGAGAACGTGTCTCGGACGCTAACTTCAGGCCCAAAATAATTCAAAACATGATTCAGCAACTTTTGATTTGAAATTGAGATCCTAGAATGCTGTTTTGCTAGGAATATAACAGCTGAAGCCGAGCTGAAACTTCATCAGGTTAGTTGTTCAGTATCCTTCATTAGATTTTGAGCACTTCTGTTGCTTCCAACGAACAAAATGCACATATTACAAATGATGGACTACATCTTTAAGGGTATGCAGTAAATGGCATACAATGTGGTATCTAACTTTCCCAAGCCCTAAATAGCTGTATACTAGAGGCACTCATGAACACTTACTAGTTTTACACTTACACAAAATACAGCACTAAACTGTGATCAAATGTTGCATCATAAGCGCATGTGCAACACTACATGTATATTGGAAGATTCTTGTACACAAGCCAACACCTAATGCCATGCTGTACGCTAAATACAACACTAAAAGACTCATCCATTAGGCTCCGCCCAATGCGCATGTGGGCAACAACACATGCGTGCCAACACTGCTAGGAATGGTTACCGTTTCTACATGTCCTTTTTCCAGTCACATGTTTACAGTATGTACAGATGTTCGTCTGTGAGTGTGACCCATACAGCTATATTAAATTACTAGAGCGCTAACTCCTCATTCTGCGCGCGGAGACGCTTTGAAGCCGTCCTGGGCGCAGCCATTTTGAATTCATGTGCGTGTTTGTAGAACATAATGAAATTACATGGAGTGAATTTGAAAGTGTACTCTACATGCAACGCGCAAGTAGAACATACGCAAACAACTTAAGCCCGTCATTGACGGTTCAAAAAAACGTGACGGCAAAAAGCATCTGCAGCGAATACGCGCACATGTTACGCTGTTTGCGTAGAGCAAAATGACACGCTCATTTGCTGATCATGCGTTTCGGTTTTGGGCGTATTGGCTTCAATAACGCAACGGTTTGGAATACAAACGCAGATATATGCAAATAGCCGTACAAAAGCCGTACACAATTTCTAGGTCTCCATAGGTTTGTGCACAAACATGGATGCGCCCAGCAGGCATTACTTTGTACACGAAGTTAGCGCTGTAGTAATTTAATATAGCTCTATGGTGTGACAATACAAAAGCTACACAGCATGTACTGCACATTCTGTTGCAGGAAAGTACATGTACGTATACATGTACAGGTTCAGTATGCTGTTCAAAATGACTGCATGCCTAACACCCACAAAACTAAAACTGAATAACATCATTAATTTATCAAACTCTTGCTTTGAAGCAGATTATTAAAAACTTGCAAAACAGTACAAATGCAGCATTTTCTCGATTGAGCATAAACAAGCAGACCGAAAATGCAATGAAGAACAATGCAAAATAACAGCCAGCTGTGTTTGCGCATGAAAAAACCCCAAAAACCAACCCAGCCAGCCCAGCCCAGCCACATTTTGTTCATCATTTTTGGGAGACAATTTTGGAAGGATAATCTGTCAACTGTCGCAAATCATTGACAGTTGAAGTTACATGCAAGGAATGTGCCACAATTTTATTTAAATCATTTTTTTGCAGAGTGGAGGATTTGTGCGGTTTCAGTCAAGGTCCTTGCAAAAAATGCCAAAACAATTATGGATATCACTGGCCCCAAGTGGGGACAATACAAAATGCTTTTAACATAACAATAAAAACGACTTTGTAAATTGGGCAAGAGAAATCTGGTCAAACATCGAATCAATTTCTGAAAAAGGCTTTTCAAAATGTGCTTTGTTAAGAATTCTCTCTCAAAAAAAAGAAAGAAAAAGAAATAAAGATGTGCCTCTGATAGGGTTGATTGAGTTGCGTAGCATGGTCGGTATCATGAGGGTTTCATGTGAGTTTTTGACAAGCGATGCATGCAATTCATGCAAATCGAATGCGCTACAGATTGGTTCAGCTGAGGATAAACTGGGCTCAACTGGGTTGAGCCTAGTGTGAAAGTATGCAGGGCGTTAGGCGTGTCTGGGTTGCAAAATGGGCAACAGTTGAAAGAAAGATGAACTGGGCATTGATGGGTTAGACTTGCGAGGGTCACACTTCACATGAAAGTTGAGCAGGAATTCTGCCAATGTTTTTGAAATGTATCCAACTTTTTTTTGCAAGTTCCAATGAAGTTTGAACAATGGGACTTTTCGGCGCAGGACACAATGCAACAAATGGGGTGACTTTGGTCTGCCACAAGGTGCAAACTGGGCTCAACTGGGTTAGGCCTAGTGTAACAGTAATGCAACAAACAAGGCGACTAGTGGGTTGCCAACAGGTGAACCTGCTCACCTTCTTGGGTTGCAGAAGCACATATTGCGGCATGTTGGCCTGCTGCAACAAGCAAGGTTGCAAGGTTTAATCAAGAAAGGAAATCTGGGCTTGTACTGTTAAACTGTGTTCAAATCTAAAATTATATTCCAACTAAAAGCCCACAGGATAAATTGTGAGTAGATACAACTTATGGAACAGGTTTTTAAACCGAGTTGGTTTTTGTAAAAAAAAAAATACTAATTTTCGGTCAAGCATTATTTTATCACGTCTAGGGTGCAACACCTTGAATTCCAACCTGAAAACTCTTGATCGTTTTTAAATCTTATCTTTCGTTAAAGATCTGACTTTGTGCTGAAAAGTTTAACTCCATTATTGGTTATAAATGCAAATGAACCAAAAATTGACCATAGACTTGAACCGGAGACCATTAGACTACCGCTCCAGCCCCACTACCATGTAAGCTATTCATGTGGGCTCTGTGCAGGACTACCCCCAAGGCCGTGAAAAAAAAGGACATAATATAACTAAAGATATTCATGACACAAAGTTCATATGCACTGCACCACAAGAGCAAAGGTGACGCCTGCGTGTAGACATTGCCAAAATGGTATTCATTTTTAAGGCATTCATTTAGTGCTGGGCAACAAGGACTTGTGAGATGCCTACAATTATTTGTTTTCAAACCGACAATAAGCTGCTATTTACGAGGTTTCCAGATTCATTCTTTGAGGCAAACACTTGATGGCGCACTGTATTTAGAAACTACTGGGTACTCCGTTTGTTAGATGAGGGCACATCCGTATGAATATGCAACAGGTTTGTGCATATTCACATGAATATGCAACAGGTTTGTGCATACGTGACCTGCCATAGCATAATGAGGAATAACCCCCACCTTTTACTTTTCAAGTTATTATGTACATCATGTTAAAGTGCAAATCATTGGCTTTCCAATGATCCCAAATTTATTTCTGTAGCTGAATTTATTCCAAAGATACATGTATGCAGCAGGAACTTCAACAGTGTCCCGCCAATCTTCGCCAACCTCGTTTCGAGAAAAACGGCTTTGAAAAAAAAAACCCCAAAAAACAATGCATTGCGCCGCCAATGGCAGTGACAAACGTTTTTCACTTTTTCCACTTTTGTGGGCATTTTTCTCGCAACAAAAATGCATAGTGTGAATCTTGGATACCTTGACTACTCAAAAATACAAAACCACCAATATCAATTTTGACCTGATTTTTCTACTAAGTCCAACTTAAGGCGTCGATTACTCAAAACAAGGTTTTGGGGGACATTCCTCATTTTGCCTCAGTAGGTCACATATATATTCACATGAATATGCAACATGTTTGTACATATTCACATGAATATGCAACAGGTTTGTGCATATTCATATTACAATTGGTAGTACATGTGGGGCTCAACTTCAGCATGTCCAACCAGTGCACACACATGATTGTGCACTCACTCAACTTCTGTGAGTATATCACCTAGCGCCCCCGACACTGTTCCTGCACAGAGCCCACAGATGCTCAACAAAAAAGGCAATCTTAGTTATTAAAGCTAGAAAGCACCTGAAGCAAAACTTCGCACGGAGGTACGAGTAACAAGACTTGATACTGACCTGGCCGGTTTGCAGGAACACGTACTGCTGCATGGGGTTCTGCTGCTGCAGCTGCTGCAGCTGCTGCAGGTCTGTGGTGCTGATCTGCTGCAGTGGCGTGCCGGGCACCTGGGTGCTTATCTACGGTGACACAAATAAGGAAATGGAGGAATACCATTGCATTCAAGGAAGCAGTTAATATTGAAGCTAACTCTCTCACTTACAATGTTAAAGATGTTCGGAGTGCAAGTTAATCAAAAGAGAGAAGATACACAAATGTTGAGAACTTGATACTGTCTGGGGTTTCAGGGCGGCAATACTCAAACATGAAGTGGGTATGATTGGAAGTGGGGATAGAAGGTAACAGTGATTTTGACAGACAGAAAGAAAAGTAACCAAACAAATCAAAGGTTAACATTTCAAAAGGTTAACATTTCAAAGGTTAACTCTGCAAACGTTAACGTTGCAAAGGTTAATGTTGCAAAGGTTAACGTTGCAAAGGTTAATGTTACAAAGGTTACGTTGCAAAGATTAATATTTCAAAGGTTAACATTGCAAAGGTTAACATTGCAAAGGTTAACATTGCAAAGGTTAACATTGCAAAGGTTAACATTGCAAAGGTTAACATTGCAAAGGTTCACATTGCACAGGTTAACATTGCAAAGGTTAACGTTGCAAAGGTTAACGTTGCAAAGGTTAACGTTGCAAAGGTTAACGTTGCAAAGGTTAACGTTGCAAAGGTTAACGTTGCAAAGGTTAACGTTGCAAAGGTTAACATTGCAAAGGTTAAAGGTTAATGTTTTAGGGTCATTTTGTTCTTGACGAGAGAAACAGAACAAAAGCAATTCACAAGAGTTGAAGGCGAATAAAGTCCACTTCACTTCCATCTTAAAGTGTAAATTAATACTTACTTCAGGGTTCCCACAGAAATCTTCAAATGAAATTCTGACTTTCCCAGGACAAAATTAGGGCTTTCCATGACCCATTACTACGCTGTCTTGTCATCTTGGGAACTTATTTACAATACACTGGCCAGTCATCAAACTGAGGCAAGGGACGCCACTCCCTTTCAGCCTTTCAGTTTTGACACAAGACCACAGACGAGCACAATGGTGCATCGGATATGCAACAACTATAGAGCATAAATTTATGCATAAAGAGTTAGTTAAATGGAATACAAAACTGGAAGACTGTCATAACAATATTAAACTTATCATCACTTTAGAATTGTGCAGGATTCCATGACTTTTTTCCTTGGAAATTCCTTTTTCCATGACTTCTTATTTAAACTTTCGTAACTTTTCCATGACTTTTCATGACAGCTTTAACTTCCAGGATTTTTCCGTGACTTTTGGAACCCTGTTACTTTCTCCACACACAGTCTTTTGGGTACACAATTCGCACGAGCCTGAGTCGGTATTATGTGTTGGGTTTAACCAGTTCGCGCCGGAGGACGTGTATACACGCAAACGTTTTGCAGTATTCTGAACAAATGACATATAAACACGCACGGAGCGAGGCCAGAAATATCTTTAAGCATCCCACCCGCAGCAAGCGAGGCCGGAGATATGAGTGTGCTGCCCATGGGTGATGGCTTCAACCCACCTGGCATGAGGTCGAGTAAAAATATACCCCGCGCCTCATTCCGTTCTAGTCAAATAATCCCAGCATGAACTGGTTAAAGATAAAACAAAATACAGCTTCTGAAATAGTCAGGGTGGAACGACAAAAGGTTTAACAGAAAGGAAAGAAAATACCATTGCAGACCAACTACCTGTAAGAAGGGGTATTAGCAGTGTATTTTTGAACAGCTGGGATTTAATGCAAAGCTGGGATTTCATGCAAGGTTATGATTTCGTGCAAAAACTGCAAGGTGGTATTAGCCTATTTCAGATTTATGCCTGACACAATAGGACGGTGCTGTTTTGGTTTGGGTAAATACAAATGACTTTGCCCAAGTCCAACTGCGCCCTCCTATTGTGTCTGCCATATCTCAAATAGGCTGATATTCTGGTTTGAGAAACTGCGAATGTGCAGGTGGGAAATTTCAAGAGATTTCTTGGAAACTGGTGAGGGACAGATGTTGTAAGATCGCACAACTGTGAGAAGGAACAGACTAAGAAAGAGTAGACTGAAGATATGACCTAATATACATATACATAAATAATACAGAAGCCTTTGCAATAAGACAAATTTTGAGCAAATTGGGGCACCATAACAATGTCACTTTGAGGGTGCAATCAAATGTGAATTACACGTTAGTGTTGTCCATGGATGTATACAAAATGTACTTCAATAACTCTGAAATTTCATTTTTACAATTCTAATTTTTTTAATTCTAATTTTTTTAATTGAAATAAATTTACCACTTTTGAAAATTTACTCCAATCAACTTATTCCTAATATTTGTGTCCCCTAATTAGCGACATAATACAGTGCACTTTTTCACTCAAAAATATGTCTTACTGCATTGGCTGCTTGGTCAGTCTCGGACTCATTGTCTGAATGTACAGACCAGCTACACGCTGCATGTGGACAATTCCAGCGTTATGTAATGCCCGTGACAGAGATTTTAAGAGTTTAGTGAATAAACCTGACAATGTATTTTTCAAATCTTATACATCCATCATCTAGTACTGGTCAAGGAGATTACAAACTAGGAGTTTTTGGATCAGTTCTCTGAATCGTAAATTAGATATGAAGGTTAACTGGCCCTGTCACGGATATATTACACTTCCTTTCCTCATGCTGGAATTGCCAACATTTCAGGTCTTTTACACATATTGCCAAATGCACCAAAAATCTGTGAACACGTGTGACCTCAGTGGGAGCACAGTGCCACCCGGAGATGACTTCTAAATCGTGGTCACTAGGTTAGTCTAAACACCTCTCTATTTTATTCACACAAAAATTTTTAATACGGATACGTCAGGATAACAGAAAAAGAAGAAAATACAGAAGACAAGGGTGGTGAGTGAAAAGATAAACCCTAGGTTTCTGATTCTGTTATGAAGAGACAGGTGTATCCGGCACACATCAGGAACGGATTAAGACCTTAGCCTGTTGCTGCTGTTGCTGCTGCTGTTGCTGCTGCTGCAGCTGCTGCTGCTGCTGCTGGATCTGTCCACCAATCTGTCCTGGGAACTGGGTGGGCATTTGGTTCCCCGTCTGCCACATCTTAGTGAAGTCTGTGAAAGGCTGTATATTGAGTGGAGGGGTTGGAAAAAAGGCCAATATAGGGGGAGAGTAGGGGGAAAACAAAGCGCAGGGAAGCAGCAACAAAACAAACAAAAAAATGTGTAAAACTTTTCGAGCGAGTTAGCAGACAGGCAAATTTTATGCAAGCGAAGGGTTTGGTTTTGATTGCTGGCAGCCAAGCAAGATGCAAAAAAAAACATGCAATGGAAATAATATGACAAAATAACCGTCACCGTTTTCACGAACTGACACGCACGCACTGTGTGCTTTCAGTTCGTGAAAACCGCGTAACCAATAATTTCTGTTTCACAAACTGACACGCGGGTGTGCGCACACTTCATAATAAAATAATTTTGGTTTTCATGAACTGAAATTTGCAAGCATGTAGCAGAAATACAATTTGGCAGAAATACAATTCGGAAAAAAAAAATGCTTTGAAAGGTTTGACACAAATCGACTCCATCCGTACACTTGTGGGATTACACAAACATTTAACTAAACACCTTTTAACTGGTGAAATTACATGTTAGAAGGGTTTCAGTTTGTGAAAACGAAAATGTACGGAGTCCGCGCATGTAGTACTTGGGTGTCAGTTCGTTAAAACTAAAATGACGAGGTTCTGTAAAGTATGCGCGCTTTTTAGCGTACTCACACACCACGGAGTGTCAGTTCGTGCTGTCGGTGACGTAATGTTTACAGGTACATGTACATAGGATCATTTGCTTATTAAGCGTTTTTTTGTTTTCATTTGAAGTAATAAAATTGCTCAAAACCGGTAGCATAACAACTACTGGTAACTTCTTGAAGTTTCAGCTCAGTTGATACTATACAGTTTGCGAAATCAGAGAAATTGTATGCACAATTTTCGGGTCTCTCAACTGGAATCCGTTGCTGACGCACATAAAAAAGCTGTGCCAGCGAAACACTTTCTGAAACCACCTTCAATGATTGTTTTCTTCTGAATTATACAATTTCAGGCGGAATAATTCCACAGAGTATTTGGTACCAGTCCTATCTTCACTTTGAGCAAATATTTGTTTCGTTACATCGGCACATGTTTCCGGGTAATTGCAAATATTCCTATGTGTCTTAAAGGGAATATACATCATTTGCTTTTGCTGTAATTTTCAGAAATGGATGGAATTGGGGGGTTGGAAATATATAGCAAATATAGTTACACTGACTTTTTTGAGGTTTTGGGTTTCGAAAATGCTATAAAAACCAAGAAAAACAATCATTTTCCTGTAGTCTGGTTCCCTGACTCCATTTAAGAAGAAACAGAGCAGTTGACATATATTGGGGAATTGTAAGGTCAGGGAACCAGTCTAGCTGGCTTGTACCCGTTCATAGGTGTGTAATCGATTGCAAACAAGTGCGATGGTCAACTGGGGCCAGTATTTGAAAAAAAGCCAGTTTTTCCCAATGCTGATCGGCCGATCAGCGTTGAAAATTGATACAAAAATACCACTTTTCTTGAAAATGACAGTATACCAGGTGCCATGATTTTACAAGATGCTTTACACTGTCATTCACTAAGAGTCCAGCAAGGTATTACAAAATGATTTGGTAGTTTTATTTTTTGATGTTTGCAAATGTTGTATTTTCCCTTTAAGATGTAACTGAATGATAAATGTCTGAAGATAAAAAAGTCCGTCAGCGTTAAATTGATAACAATGTGTAAAATGCAGCATGCTAAAGGGACCTCAATGAGACGAGTACCCAAGGTCAAAGATGAATTCCCCCATCCCCCCCCCCCCCCTCAATGACCCGTTACTCACCAACTGGACCGGCCCGGCCGCTTGCTGCTGCAGCAACTGCAGCTGCTGTGCTGTCAGGGCCTGTACCGTCGTAGCCGCTGCCTGGGAGACCGCCTGCACTGTTGGGGCCTGGCTCTGGCTGACCGCCACCATGGAGGTCTGGGGCTGGCTGGTGGCGGTGGTCAGCTGGGTCTGCAGCCCCTGTTGGCCCTGCAGGATGCGGGACAGGTTGCTCTTGAGAGACGAGAATAAACGGGAAAGAGATTTTTAAAGGGAAGATAAAACATTTGCGAACATCAAAAAACGAAGTGATCAAATTATCACGAAATACTTTACTGGAATGTTGGGGAATGACAATGTAAAGCTTCCTGTAAAAGCATGGCTCCTGGTGTGCTGACATTTTTAAAGTAAAGTTGTATTTGTGTATCGATTTCCAACACTGGTCGGCCGACCATTGTTGGAGGAAACTGACTTTTTTTCAAAAACTGCTCCTACTTTTTCATATCAAGCTATGCAGCATTTCCTTTGCAATTGATTACACACCTGTGTAGGGGTACATGCCTGCTAGACTAATTCTCTGACCTTACAATTCCCCAAAGTCTATAAATTACTCATTCCAAAGCTACATGTAAAGTGGGTCAGGGAACCAGACTACAAGAACATGATTGGTTTTCTTGGTTTTTCTAGCATCTACGAACCCAAAACGTGCTTAAAGGAACATAGGATCATTTGCTCTCTGTGCATTTTTTCCCGTTTGAAGTAATAAAATTGCTCAAAAGCAAGCAGTTTAACAATATTTGCTACAGCATATTAATCCTCCAAATCCACTTATTTCTGAAAATTACAGCATAAGCAAATGTTGTACATTCCCTTTAGGCCAAAAAAAAAAGTCTCCGGTTTCTGGTATGCGCGCACGTCGCCGTAGCCATGCGTGTCGGCAAAATTAAAAAGATTTTTTCAATGATAGATTTGGTTTGACTGGAATCCTGCTGCTGCACAATTTTAACGTGTTTTTAGATTGGGTTATGGTCGAGAATAATCTTTATGTGGCCTCTCTGGACTCCCGTATACTTGCACTAAGTTTAGTCGGGCACCATTTGCAGTCATCAGCCGACATTTGAAGCAAAAAAGTTAGTCAGTCGTACAAGTTCTAAACACCCCGTAAAATTATTCAGTCTTGCTTGCAGTCATTTCAAAGAAATCAAGCAATGCAGGTGATTTCCAACGATCAGTCAATTGGCTGATTTTTGGAATAAAAAGAGCTGACAAAATCGTGTTTTGTGATCAAAAGATTGTGCATATTTTTTCACTGTTTTCCCGAAAAGTTTGGCATCCACTGAGCTGAATCTTCAACAGGTTAGGTTCTGAACATTCTTCTTTGGATTTTGAGTGGTGTTATTATTGGAAGCAAATAAAATGCATGTAAAGCAAATGATCCTATGAAATGAAAATGAAACTGCAAATGAAAAATGCCAACATACGGTAAAACTGAGAGATATTTTTGCCCGGGTTGTTAAAGACTTAAAGCTATAGTCCATCATTTGCAGCTATCCGAAAAGTAGCTGGCGTAATTATTGTTGAAAAACATACTTGGTGGAAAGATAGTAAGGGGACTAAACTCCCTGTAAAATTATTCTTTCCGACAAGCTGTCATTTTGAAGTAATCAACGAAAGAAGGCCTTTCCAACGGTGCTTCTTAAGACGCACCGTAGGAACATTTAAATTAGAAGTTCGTTTTGTTATTCGGCGTAGCGCGCGCAAGCATTGGCACGACGCACACGAACCCCCGGTTGCTATAATTCGTCAGATCAGTGCGCGACATCGCGTAGCTGCATTCGGCTCAGCGAGAACGTGTCTCGGACACTGAATTCAGGCGCAATTCAAAACATGATTCAGCAACTTTTGATGTGAAATTGAGATCCTAGAATGCTGTTTTTCTCAGAATATACAGCTGAAACTGAGCTGAAACTTTATCAGGTTAGTTGTTCAGTACCCTTCTTTAGATTTTGAGCACTTTTGTTGCTTCAAACAAACAAAATGCACAAATTACAAATGATGGACTATAACTTTAAATTCCTTTGATTTTTTTCTTTGAATTTTGGCAAATAAAGAAAATCCTGTGCTTCCCTAATTTCCCAGATAATTCTGCAGTCACTACCTATAAATAACAGCGGCGCTTGACAGCTTACCTGCTGGACGAGGTTAGCAGCGCTGACAGCGATGGGCTGTGCCTGGACCTTCTGTGCAGCTGCAGCCATAGCAGCTGCTGCAGTGGCTTGGCTGAGGGGTAAGCCCTGTAGGCTGAACACCTGCGGCTGCTGCTGTAATGACAAAGAGAGCCGAGATGGTTGGTTTACTGAATACAAAGGGTGATGCTGAATGGAAACCAATTCGTGGGCACGTGTGGTTTAGCGGTAGAGCACAGGATTCATGATCGTGAGGTTGTGGGTTTCGAGCCCCGCCATGGCCATGCGTGTTGTGCCCTTGAGTAAGGCGCTTTACCTCAATTACTCCTCTCAACCCAGGTGTTAATTGGGTACCGGCATTATTCAATGCTGGGAAGGTAACAGACTCGCTGTGGAGGTGGTGTGGCGATCCCCCCACAGCAGCATATGAGTCTGGCCCAATCACTAACAAAAGAGAGATGGGCACTCAGGTTCGTCCCCCCTGAATGGAATCCATGTATGAACAGTAGATGAGGTTTTGTGACTAGTATCAAGAGCTCCATGGTTGAGACACATGTGTTGGGAAGTCAGGTTGGTGTAGCGGTACTTTCCTCGCCTTCCACCGCTGTGACCCGGGTTCGAATCCCGCCCGGGCCAATATGTGGATTGGGTTTTCAGTCCCTGCCTGATTCCGTGGGTTTTCCCCAGAATATTCCTCTGGGGTTCTCCTCCCACCTCTAAAACTGTAATTCCTTCTCATTGTCTTCTCTCTACAGGTTTCTTCAGGCTTGCGAGCTGCAGTGCACTTTTTGAGGAATCCTTGGTTTCATTACCAGAAATAATAGTAATTATACCACGTGGAGCAGTTTAGCTTATTTCTCTCAGTTACTACTGTTTTGAATCCTAGTGAGAGTTTCAACCCGGGTTGAAAATCTCAACCCTGGGCCCAATTTCATAGAGCTGCTTAAGCAGAAAATTTGCTTGAGCACGAAAAAACATTGCTTAGTAAAATTAGGTTACCGGCCAAAACTCCATGCGATGGACATTGCTTGTGACTGGTATTTAGCTGTTGTTTACTTAGCATAACAATCCCATGGAGTTTTGGCCGGTAACCTGATTTTATTAAGCAAGACGTTTTTGTGCTTAAGCAAATTTTGTGCTTAAGCAGCTCTATGAAATTGGCCCATGGTCTGGAGCAGGGTTGAGTTCAACACAGGGTGAAAGCAATCTAAGGGTTGATGCAGGGTTGAAAGTGTTCAAGTGTGAAACGCTGCATGTTTTCAACCCTTGTCATTTGTCTAGTGTGAAAAAGCCTTTAGAGAGTTTAATTAATTCTTTTTTTCTAATGATGCCGATGTTTCCCCAAAAGTGCAGATATTCAATGTGTTGACAAGTGAAAAAGTGCAAATTGAATCCACTGAACCTCTACCTTAGTTTAATGACATGCAACAGTTAATAAAATGATCGAGTGCTAATGGTTATTTTACCGACCACAGCTAAAAATAAAGTGATTCAAGTGCAGATGCTGCACTAACCTTAAAAAAAATCCCAAATTTTTGAAAGCCAAGTTCAAACTTCACACAAAATTTACAGCATACCAAAACAAATTTCTATGACAAAACTTCAAAGTGAAACTGAAGTTAGCGATGTGTTACATCCCTCTTGCCCAGTATTTTTACATCTCTCTCATGGAAGCCTGCTAAATGTTGAGAGACATAGTGCATTCAGACAAGTGAGTGCCCGTATTCCAAAATCGACCATGTACCACTGGTGCAGGCATCGATAACAAAGTCAATGGGAGACTTTTGAGACGTTGGTGGCAGCAAACATACAGGTACTTTTTCCATTGTTCACGCCATGTTTAACTCTTTCAGTGCCAAAGTCGTACATGTACGAGGTATATTTGTTAGTCCAAAATTGCCAACCTCGTACATGTACGAGGTAATGTTCCTACTTAAAATTGCCACACCTCGAACATGCACGAAGTAGAGTAAGCATGTTATCACAAGGGGGCGCTCTCGCTCTTTCTAATAATATCATTTTCATTCAGGTAAGACTTGTATTTATTTGTTTCATTGGAGTTCTTGCGAGAGGGCGCAGCACTGACACTCGTATTTTCTGCAAAAAGTGCGAAAATCCCCCGTGTGCAGGACATAGTTTCAGGGTGTATCACTATGTATGTGACTACTATTGACTTTCCAATATACCAAATATATACCAGAGAGCAACAACAACAGATTTAGTGAGTAAAACTTATTTACTTTTTTTTATAGAATTTTGAAACATTAAAAAAACGCTCGAAGTTCGGCACTTTAGGGTTAAACTTTTCAAATTTCGCAGGCACTGAAAGAGTTAAGCCAAAGCGCGCATTCTCATTATGACGCAAACAATGGAAAAAGGACTGGTATGTTTGCTACCACCAACGTATCAAATGTCTCCCATTGCAAGTCAATCACAAGTCCTCCAAAGTCTGAACATCATTTTCAAGCCCCAAGTCTCAAATCGACTGAAAAACTATTCAAATGTGACCGGACTAGTGGTTTTGTCTTGTGACTGACTAGTGATATGCACTGTGATTTGATTGGATCAGCGGTCCGGATGAGTACCTTTTGTGCAACGGCCTGAGCCAATGGCAGACTCTGTAACAACATCTGCGGATGAGCCTACGAAAAACACAGAGGGTTAAATAATCAGATTCACTGTTGTTGTAATACGGGCGATTCCCAATACAGTGCACCACGGAGAGGTTGCCACGGAGAGTCCATTTTTTGCAGTGCATTGTGGGAGACGGTCTACAAATTTGCCATGGTGCGGGACACTTAATATTGCTACTTTGTCCTGTCAGTAGCTTGGGTATCCTTTTCTTTTCTTTTCTTTTTATCAAGATGGCGTTTTTTGTGAGGCGGCAGAATAATATACCCCAATCTATCAAAATTTTCCACAAGATGTCCACTGACATTTGTTCAAATCAAAGCAAGTCGGCCATGTTGAAAAATGGACTCTCTGTGGCAACCCTCTTGGTGGTAACTTACGCCATGTGTAGGACTGAGGCAGCAAATTTGTTGCGCAGCTGCGAAGTACACTTTTTTATACGATCGATTTCACGAAACTTGAAGTAGCTGCAAAATGTTTTAAATAATCTAGACATCTTGGATGAGGATAATAGCGGCATTTTTTGGCAGCTGTCGTTGAATTACCTCTGTCCGCCACTTTGAAAATAGTTTTGCCCGATTTTTTTCAGAATCGTGCGGCAACTCTGAAAATTCTGTCACAAGTAAAATAGCAATTCATTTACTTCAAACACAAAGCTGCGAGTTTCTTGTATCAACCTTGATAAGTTGTGCAATGATAGGCCCCATGACAATCACGATTTGCAAGCAACATAGTTCATTTTCAGTCGCTACGCCGCATTTCATGCCACCTTTTAAAATTAATTGCACAAGTTACGCCACGATTTGTTGCAGAAGTCACGGGCTTACACGCTATGGAACTTTTGTAAAATGCGCATAACTGAAATGTTTGTGCAGTGCGAAAATGTTACGCAACTTTTGCAATAACTTGTGACGCAAGTGGAGTTACGCCATTAGGCCCAAATAAAAAAGGCTCCGGTTTCTGGTATGGAGCTTGCCCAAAAAGTGGTGCGGCGACGCGGCTTTTTTTTTTTTTTACCTGATTTTTTTGCTTCAAATGTCGGCTGATGACTGCAGATGGTGCCCGTCTAAACTTAGTGCAAATATATGGGGGTCCAGAGAGGCCACATAAAGCTTATTCTCGACCATAACCCAATCTAAAAACACGTTAAAATTGTGCAGCAGCAGGATTCCAGTCAAACCAGTGAGTTGGGCGGTTATGAGACATCATCTTTCATTGAAAAAAAAACTTTTTCATTTTGTCGATGCGCATGGCTACGGCGACACGCGCGCATACCAGAAACCGGAGACTTTTTTTTTTGGGCCTTATGTAAGGTTTCGTGAAACCTGCTGCCGAAATCAGGCATTTTCAGGAGGAATTACATACATGCACATCCCTGAATCTAGACCTTTATCAAATGAGTGTTATGAGTACAGTCACGTGTAAATGTCAAGATGATGATTTGTGTTGTTACAAAGTCAGTTTAATGCAGTCCATAGAGCTATATTAAATTACTAGAGCGCTGACTCAATGTACAAATGAAGCCTGCTAGGCGCATCAATGTTTGTGCACAAACGTATTTGGGAAACTCAAAATTGTGTACGGCTTTTGTACGGCTATTTGCATATATCTGCGTTTGTATTCTATACAGGTGCGTTATCGAAACCAATACGCCCAAAACCACAAAGCACGACCAGTAAATAAGCATTTCAATTTGGCTCTGCACAAACAATGCAAGCGCTGGCACGCATCCACTGCACGACAATTTTTGCCATGATGTTTTTTAACCGTGACGTTTTTTGCCATGACGTTTTTTTTTAAAGCTTAAGTCGTTTGCATATTTGTACTTGCATGTTGCACTTAGAGTACCCTTACAAAATTGACCCCATGTAATTTCACTTTGTTCTACGAACACGCACACGAATTCAAAATGTCTGCGCGCAGGACGGCTTCAAAGTATCTCCGTGCGTAAGAATGAGGAGTTGGCGCTCTAGTGATTGAACATAGCTCAATGATGCAGTTTTCTGCCACCAATACAAAAAAGATTGTGCCTTGATATGCAAGACAGGCAGTGACGCTTATTAGTTACAACAAATGTGGCATGAAGTGCGTGACTTTCGGCTGTAACAACGCAATAAGCCATTTGCGAATAACCAACAGTATACCCTTTGCGAGTACATTTGAACATCATCTGGTACACTGACTTCCTCATAATGCGTGGCACGTTTTAACTTTGAATTCTCCAGACCAAAGACACTGTTGCTCTATCACATGATTCGGGGCAAGCTCTTGCGTAGTAACATAAGAGACGCTCAGCATCAATACATTGTTCATAATGGGTGAGAATGGCATGAAGACACCAAACCATTCTGGAGCTTGGGGTTGCTAGCGTTAAGGCTTGCCCCGAATCACATGAAATAGCAACGGTCTCTTAAAGCTATAGTCCATCATTTGCAGCCATCCGAAAAGTAACTGGCGTAATTATTGTTGAAAAACAAACTTGGTTGAAAGATAGTAAGGGAACTAAACTCCCTGTGAAATCATTCTTTCTGGGAAGCTGTCATTTTGAAGTAATCAACGAAAGAAGGCATTTCCAACGGTAATTCTTAAGAAGCACCGTAGGAAAATTTAAATTAGTAGTTCGTTTTGTTATTCAGCGCAGCGCGCACAAGTATTGGAACGACGCACACGCGCGCGCGGTTGTTATAATTCGTCGGATCAGTGCGCGACGTCGCGTAGAGCTGCAATTCAAAACAATTCAAAACATGATTCAGCAACTTTTGATTTGAAATTGAGATCTTAGAATGCTGTTTTTCTCGGAATGTACAGCTGAAGCTTAGCTGAAACTTCATCAGGTTAGTTGTTCAGTATCCTTCATTAGATTTTGAACTCTTTTGTTGCTTCAAACGAACAAAATGCACAAATTACAAATGATGGACTGTAGCTTTAAGTCTGGAGAACTCCAAGGTAAAATGTGCCAAGCATTCGAGCAAGTCGGGGTATCAGATGCTACTCAATTTTGTTGGCAAATGGCTTGGATTGAGAGTGTGACGTCATTTAGAACCAGAAAGTGTAGTGCAAACGAATGGAGTACACGCGCGTGTTGGTTCACGCGCTAATGTCTTTCACACACATTTTGTGCGCGTGGCGTATTCACTTGGGTGTTCACTCCAATCCGTAGCGGACTCTTACATTGACGATGAACTGCGGCTGTGCCTGGGCCTGTATCTGGGCAATCTGCTGGGCCCCTGCCGAGTTGGCCAGCTGTGCCTGCAGCATGGGGATGGACAGCGAGGTGGCGGCCATGGGGACCTGGGTGACCGTCTGCTGGGCGACTGCCGCTGCAGCCTGGGTCTTGGCTGCGGCTGCTGCAGCTGCGGCGAGAACACCTGCAGCAGGCGTGGCGGTGGTGGTAGTGGCTGATGCAGTACCTGGACCACACAAATACAAACACAGTTAACGATTTTTGCAAATAAACCACATAGGCTAAAACATTGATTTGTTGCAGGGATTGAAACTCAAATACAACTTTTTTTCCTCAGGGTCTGACGACTGAAATATACAAATTTGACTCAAATCAAGGGTTTGAAGATTCAAATGCAAATGTGTCTGTTGGTTTTAGGACTCAATGGCAAATCACATCCTTACAGAAATGTCCCATGAGCATCCAATAGGAATCCCATGGGGTCCCATGAGATTCCCATGGGATCCCATAGGAAACCCATGCGGTCATCAAGAACACCATGTAAGTTAAAATGATAACCATGGGAGATTTTATGGGAAACCCATGGGAACACAATGGAGATTGCTGGACAACATGGGAACACCATACGGATTTTATGGACATCATGGGAACACCATGTGGAATTTATGAACACCATGGGAACACCATGGGAACACCATGGGAAAACCATGGGGATTTTATGGACACTATGGGAACACAATGGGAACACCGTGGCGGTTTTATGGACACCAAGGGAACACCATGGGGATGTTATGTCACCATGGGAACACCATGGGGATTTACTGGACACCATGGGAACATCATGGGGACTTTAGACACATTGGTACACCATGAGGATGCGGACGCCATGGGAACACCATGATGCTGCAGGAACAGGGAATTTGTCTTACTTTGGACCCTAGAATTACCATAATTATGAGTTTAACTCAAAGTTTGAAGATTCAAATGCAACCCTATCTTTGGGTTTGAAGACTCAAATACAACGATCGAGTCTTAAATTGAATTTGAGAATTCAAATCCAATACATTTTTGGTGCTTGAAGTTGAAGACTCAAATGCAAGCCCATCACACACGTGTTTGTGGACTCAAAACCTGATCGTCAATTGGTACAAGACTCAATGTAAAACTTTCTGTCTGCAAAAAGAGGGATTCCAACTTTGGTATCCGTCTCAGACTCTGAGAACCTTAAGTTGTAACTCATTAATAAAATTCTGCCCCACACTTTAAAAATGCTTACTCTTTCTAAAAGACCGAGTCCAGCAAAAAGTTTGTTTTGGAATTGATAATCAACAACAAATCCCTTGGCAATGAATGATTCTGGTTTGTAACGATACCTGCATCACTGCTGGCAACCTCCGTGGTGCTTTCCGAACTCATGCTGGTGTTTTGTTGGGCTTCTGCTAAAAAAAAAATGAAAAACAAAATTCAAGAATGAGCAAGAAATGCAAATCTAAGTTTGTTTGGCAATTATATAAAAAAAAAACCCATGTTTCCGTGGCAGATCCAGCATTTACGGAAAGGGGGGGAGCGGGGTTCCCAAAAATGGAGGTGAAATCCGAACACAAGCGGGGCATTTGCTCATGTGGGTGAACATTTCTGTCTTTTGAAGTCATTAAATAACCAGTTAACAGCAGAAGAAACAGGAGAAAAAGACACTTGCGACATACAGGTACCTCCCAACAGTTTTTTTGTTTTAGTCCATCATTTGTAATTTGTGCATTTTGTTCGTTTGAAGCAACAAGAGTGTTCAAAATCTAATGAAGGATACCGAACAACTAATCTGATGAAGTTTCAGTTCAGCTTCAGCTGTATATTCCGAGAAAAACAGCATTCTAGGATCTCAATTTCAAATCAAAAGTTGCTGAATCATGTTTTGAATTATTTTGAATAACAGCTATACGCGATGTCGCGCACTGATCCGACGAATTATAGCAACCGCGCACGCCTGTGCGTCATGCCAATGCTTGCGCGCGCTGCGCCGAATAACAAAAACAAACTACTAATTCAAATTTTCCTACGGTGCGTCTTATGGAAAGGCCTTCTTTCGTTGATTACTTCAAAATGATAGCTTGCCAGAAAGATTAATTTCACAGGGAGTTTAGTCCACTTACTATCTTTCAACCAAGTATGTTTTTCAACAATAATACGCCAGTTACTTTTTCGGATGGCTGCAAATGATGGACTATAGCCTTAAAGATTAGAAAAGTAGGGGAGGGGGGAGGCGCACCAGCTGTGCCCCCTCTGGATCTGCTACAGGTTTCTGAAATTCTCTTTCAGAGCATCCCGAGCTGTAGGCAACATCATCTTTGTAAAGCCACCGTACAATAGATGAATGCACATTCATTCTACTTTCTTTGTATCAGGACTGTAACTGTAAGGTGAATTCATCTGCAAGAGAACCTCAATGACGAGTTCTCCCCCCACCCAACCCCCCCCCCCCGAAAAAAGGAACTAGAGCAGATCGTGTCCTTCATAATTAATTCCCAATTCATTGTACATGTATGTGACATAATGTGAACATCACTCAGAAACATAACTTTTTGTTATTGTGGCCAAAGCTAGGGCTTGGCCTCTTTTGACCTTTTTTTCTTTTTTAAAGCATGCTCCAATTGAACACATGCAGTTTGAGGATTGAATCTGAAGTTCCGTCTACATTTCTGAGTGACGAAAAGTTATTGAGAATCATCGCATCAGCCGAAAAAGGCAGAAGTTGTTAATCACTAAAATTTGACGAAATTATTAAAGGAATGAAGGGTACAATTATGAGATGATTTTTTTTCTTCTTAGGAGCACATGTGCAACTTTCCGATCCTTTGTAATGTATGAAATCTATTTGACATCCTTTTTGCTTTCCCTTTATTGAAAAGTTCACTTCTTTAAAGGGAATGTACATGTACAACATTTGCTTTTGCTGCAATTTTCAGAAATACAAGGATTTGAAAAAAAATAAATGTTATAGCAAGTATTGTTAAACTGACTTGTTTTACATTTTGGGCTTGTAGATGCTGGAAAAACCAAGAAAATCAATCATTTTCTTGTAGTCTGGTTCCCTGACCCCACTTAAGATGAAACGGAGCAATTTGTAGACTTTGGAGAATTGCAAGGTCAGAGAATCAGTCTGGCAGGCTTGTACCTCTTCACAGGTGTGTAATCAATTGCAAAGAAAATGGCGGAATAACTAAATATGAAAAATTAGGAGCAGTTTTGAAAATAAGCCAGTTTTCTCCAACGCTGGTCGGCTGACCAGCGTTGGGAAAATACAATTTTTCTTGCAAACGTCAGCACATCAGGAGCCACAATTTTACAGGATGCTTTAGACTGTCATTCCCTAACAATCCAGTAAGGTATATCGTGATAATTTGGTCATTTCGTTTTTTGATGTTTGCAAATGTTGTACCGTATTTTCCCTTTAAACATTTAAAATCTTCCATGCTTTTCTGGCCAACTGAGGACGCTGTTGCTGTGATGTCATTTCAGGAAGACACTGTTCAGTTCAGGGGTTTTCGGTTCTAACATTGTTGTGAGCCCCAAACTTTGCTCATTGAAAATATCTGTGAGAAACAGTGTGCTCATTGGCTTACTGCCAAAGCAAAGAAAATTTACACCAGTCCACCAAAATACCCACAATTCTGGCAACTTTTGGTGTTGATACATACATACATGTAGCTGTAACATACAGCCTGTCTAAAAAAAAATGGTACAATCAGAAAAAAAATTGGTTAAATATGAAATTTCAAAATAAGTCATTCTTACTTGGCATAATATTAAAGAACAAAGACTGGGCTTTCCAATAGTGTTTGTTTGATCTCATTTGCTTTTGTCATTTCAGAGATATCATCAATTTAGTGCGATACACCAAAATCAATTTTGTGCCACTTTTATGCATGGGCTGAGTTGTTTCGAGTACTGTGCCATGCTGTCTTGAAGCTCACAAAAGATTGCAACTTGGCAAAAGAAACAAACTCGGTTTTTGTGTTCCGCAGTAAACTGGAGTTATCTCTGGATTGACAATTAAGCAAATGAGATGAAACAAAAAGTATTGGAAAGCCTGGTCTTTTTTCTTTAATGTGATGCTCAAAACGACTTACTTATGTTGAGATTTAATATTGAAAACAAATTGCTTTCGATTGTACCATTTTTTTTTTAGACAGGCTGTAGAAGTTTCTGCTTGAAATGACATCACACTTTTGCCCATAAACATGGGAATATTTGCATCATACATTGTAGCATAAAAACAAAACACCACCAAAATCCCTTGAAAATGGCAAAACTAAAATTGAAAATAAGGTATAAAATGGGACACAAAGGTGCATTTTCAAGGATTGCATTTAAAAAAATTACTTTGCATGGTCCTTTGTGCCCCTACTGCACGCTATAAGCAAACCACAAGTGATGGTTGGCGATGTCATCTGCAGTGCATGCAGAACATGGGAGAAAAAAAAGATTTGGCACAAATCCAACACTACACAAGTCACCAGCAAGGGCCCCACCAACAAGACCAAGTATTTGCCCGGCCGGATCGATGGCATGCATGATTCAGTGCTTTGCCTGGATGGACTTTGCATACAAGCTATTACCACGCTGCCCTGTCAATGCACTGAAACGGGACTGACCCTGCTTAATATGTGCATACCGCTCTCCTGCATAATAATTTTCTCTGAGGCGGCCTGTTGTCGCCTGTTCATTGTGCAGGTAGTGAATAGTCAATACAGCCATTGCTATGCATGAGGCCACAAAAGGGGTCAGCCACACACTGGGTATAGAGTGCCTTTATAAATATGCAGGCTTGCGCTTGTTGTATTTTTCTACGGCATGGGAACAGTCAGATGCCTCGGGGGAAAAACTGTTGGACTTGTAAACTACATTGTAAATGCACAAAAATTTTCATCAAGCCCTGCTTCGGAAATGTTTCGCCATATTAACCCGACAAAAAGGGAAACTTTATTTGTTACTGAATCTTAACAGTTCCAAGGATAGGCCTATATTCTCCAAAATTGTTCTGGGCAATTAAATTTATGTGCAGTCACTATAAAGTTAAAACTATATACATGAAGCTGGCAAATTTAAAAGCCAAGACATGTTTTGTGAGCATGCAGGCAGTTTGTTTTAGTATGGTCATTAAATAAAATGGGGCAAAAAAAACAAAAAAACAAAAAAAAAATTCCAAAACAACATGGTCAGTAATTGTTGACAAACTACAATTAAGTTTGTACAAGTACACGTCTGACAAAAATAAAGACATACCAATTTTTGTGATTTGTGTACATGTTCATAGGGTCACTGATTTGCCTTAAGATGCCAAATTTTCTTGGCCAAAATTTCTCCATCTGAGCTTATTTACCTACATAAGTCTGAGGGTCACATACCCTTTGATGTATTCTACTTGCCTACTCAAGGGCGGATCCAGAACACAATTTTAGAGGGGGGCAAAAAAATGTTGGTCCTCAAAAAGTTGGTTAAAAAATTACGACGTGGGGTTCGATGTTTTGAAATTTTGAATTTTTTTAATATAGATGCTTTACGGTGCGATCTGAGGCAATTTCTGACCACTTTAACCAATTCTTTTGGAAGCTGGAAAAGATGGTGGTGTAGGCCTACGCAGTGCCTGCCTTTATTGCGACATCGTTTAAAAAAAAAACACCCTTGTGCCTACTTCCTTGTTAGTCAAACCACACAAAGATTAAAGAAGTGTGCCGCTTTTGCCTACTGACTTTTCTAGGCCAACATTTCTCCATCTGAGCATATTTACATAATTTACATTAACTTGTTCGAAGGTTGCGTGCCCTTTATGACATACATTACATTTAGCTACTTACTTCCTTTTGGTCCAACCACACACGGATTAAATGTGTGTTCTCCATGCTCAAAATTTCAACTCAAAATATACATTTGTTTTTCCATTGCAATTTTCCTAGCAATGTAAAAGTTATTCACTTTTGAATGCGGCATAAAAAAAGATACACCCACGCTCAGTTGCTGAATTATTTCTTATCTGCCCGACAATAATTGTGCTCTCGGAAGAAGGGTTTTATTTGTGCACAAAATAAAAGCCCTTTTTCAGAGGGTTGCAAAGTTATGCAAACGCCAAAAAGTCACAATAAGGCCCCCCCCAAAAAAAGTCTCCGGTTTCTGGTATGGAGCTTGCCCAAAAAGTGGTGTGGCGACATGTTTTTTTTTTTTTTACCTGATTTTTTGCTTCAAATGTCAGCTGATGACTGCAAATGGTGCCCGACCAAACTTAGTGCAAGGAAGTCCAGAGAGGCCACATAAAGCTTATTCTCGACCATAACCCAATCTAAAAACACGTCTAAAATTGAGTTTGGGGGTATTGAGACATCATCTTTCATTGAAAAAAAAAAAGTTTTCATTTTGCCGACGCGCATGGCTACGGCGACGCGCG